TGTTGGGAGAGCCCTGCTCCTCTCTCTGGCTATGGCAGCAGGACCCAGACCTCCCCAACGCGGTTGTTTGGGAAGCTGTCCTGACTTGCAGTCCAAGCTGGTGGGGGAGAGAAAGCCTTTACCATTAAATGTGGAGTCCCATCAGACCAGACAGCGGAAGTCTGGACTGCCCCCAAACAGTGCACTGCAGTGTGGTCTGCCTGGATCCAGGGCAGTGCAGTAAGATCCTTTGGACCAGCCAGCTCCCCTGGTGCCTTTAGGATGTGGCTAGATTTATAAATATTTGATTGGCACACACTCTGCTGAAGAACATTTCCATCTGTGTGGTGAGTGGTGCCGAGGATCCTCCCCCGACACAGCCTCCTTCCTACGTGCTTGGGAGGCTAGGGGCCGTAGGCTCCACAAGGAGGCTGAAAATTCGGGATGCTTAGGAGGGAGTGTGCCATTCCTCTCTAGCTGCCGTTCCAGCTGTTGACTTGATGGAAGTGCAAGCCCCTACATGCCTTCTCCAGAGAGGAAACTCCAGCAGAAAGAGCAGACAGGCATAGGACTCTTTGCCTTTGCTCCAGTGTCTCTGTCTCGGGGAAGTTAGATGGGAAGGGCGTGCTGGGCTAGGGCCTGGGAAGCTGTGACTCTATGCCAGGTCTCAGGAGCTCAGGCTAGACAGTCTCGGGGAAGATGGGATGGAGTCACCAGCAGTTCTGTGAACGAGCTTAACATTTAATGGCCAGCTATCAGCTAGGTTGGATGGGGAGGCACAGCTAGCCTGCGGAGGGGACGATGGTGACCTTGGAGAATGACACTGTTTTGAACATTCAGGGGCCTGGCAGTGTGCTGGACATGTGTAGAAACATCACCTTTCACAGCCTGACTTTCCTAAGAGGCAGAGAACTGTTGGGATTCTTGTTTTTTAAACAAAGAAACCTAGGCGCATAGAGGAAAAGTAACTACCACAAAATGTCACAGATTCAGTAAACACAGTCAGGGGACGTCAACCTCCTTTTTCCTATCTGAGCCACGTGATAGGCTGAACACGCCAATGTATTTAGTTTGTGGGTAGAAATGCTGTTGTCAGGATGTTAGCATCAGGGTGGTGGTGGGATCCTCAGATAATTCTATTAGAACAGAGGAACTTAGGCTCCACAAGATGCCCCTGTGAGGGGCCTGGTCAGCGCAATGGTGACTAGTGACCTCAGAGGATTGCAGGTGGAGATGACCATCTGTGCAGGGCCTGGCATGTGCCAGTGCTTGACAGGTACTTCTTGAGATAGTGTTGGGTTTAAATTTATCTGCCAACAATACAAGTCAGCCGCTCATCAAATTAATGCTTACTGGGCACTGAGCCAAGTGCCGGGCAAAGTCACAGTGTCGGCCACCAAGACACAAAGTCCTTGTCCTCAGGGGCCTGTGGGGGAGAAGTCCAGTCCATGACCACGTGAGTGAACACAGAAGTGTAGTCCCAAGGAGAGGGGCACAGATCTGTGACACCTTTTACCTGCTCCGTGTTCAACATGAACGGGCCACCTCCCCTGCTCCGCGGCTCTCCCTAGACTCTCTCAGTCTCTCAGGGCTAGCACCCAGTTATCAAAAGCTTTCTTTTCACAAGCTGCATCCCCAGGGGCTCCAGAATCAGTAGCCCTCCCTCACTGTCTGTCTGTCTGTTTCTATTGTGGTTACTATGACATTGTAACTAGTGTTTGCATCATGTACGGACCATTGCCCAGAGCTGTGACCCAAGCTTTGGTGAAGGCACAAGCCCCTGAACCCCTGTCTCTACAGGAATCTGGTAGAGACATTTTACTTCAGTCTATTTTGGGATCGCCAGTGCACAGGCTGCTACCACGGGTAAGATACCTGGAAACTGTTTCTCCCGAGGAAGGGTAAGACAGACAAATCAGAATAATTTCCCCACTCTGGGACAGCTTGTCAATCATTGAGGACAAAGAGACACTATGAAAGGAATGAACTTCTGTCTTGTGAGGTCTGAGGCAAGTTCTGTCTTGTGGGGTTTATGAATTACCTAAGTATCTCACTGACTTTTAAGGGCCCTCTTTCTTCAGGAGACTTTGGGGTGCGGCGGTGGCTGTCATGCTCAGACCAATGGTTAAAGAATAGTACTTCTAAGCTGGGCTGTGATGGCACAGGCCTTTATTTAACCCCAGCACTCGAGAGGCAGAAGGAGGTGGATCTCTGAGTTCGAGACCAGCCTGGTCTATAGAGTGAGTTCCAGGACAGTCAGGGCTACACAGAGAAAACCTGTCTCAAAAAGAAAACAAACAAACAAAAACCGTGTGGCAGATTGTGTGTGGATCATAACGGCTATCCAGGGCTTCTACTCCAAACTGCCCAAAGCTGCCTCTGCCTCTGAGGCCCGAGGTTCAAAACAGCAGTGCCACCGCTGGGCAGAAGAGGGCGACTGATCCACACTCAGGGAGATCGCCCATGCCCAGGAGGAGTGAGGCCAGCACTCCCATTCCAGGAGGAGGAAGAAGCTGAGTCTCAGTGAGATTAAAAGCCTGCCCAAAATTGGACCTCAGCGGATATCGGGGATTAGAAGAATCATTGGCATCGTTAGCATCTTTAGCAGAGTATTTCATGCAAAACAGAGAGACTATTTATTGTGTGCTTAGAAAGTGGCAGAGTAGGTCATGAACACCAACATTCCAGGGCCCTGACTGCAGAGGACAGGTGGATTGTCCATTGTGGTTTCAACTGGTACAGGGCAGATTGCTGCTTGTTTATCTTAGCACTGCCCCCTTGGCCCTTGTTCTTAGCTCCAGAGTAAGCAAACAGTAAGCTCATAGAACTGCTTTGAATGTTGGCAGAGAAGGCCGAATCTAGACTCTAGCCCTTCGTGGGTCTGAAGAAGCGCCTTAGTCTCCCATTGCACGTCCATACACTGCAGCAAGTCTAGAAATGCAGGATGCTAACAGTAACATTGGCTGCTGGCATGTACTGGGCCGTTACCCTGGGCCAGGCAGGCGCTGTGTCCAGAATGTTTGCTATGTTATTCATTTAACTCTCTCATGAAGCCTGTAATCGGTATTCTCGTTTCTTTTTAAGCAGAAAAATAAAGCATAAGTGTGCTCAAGTTCACACAGCAGATATCCCAGCACCCCTTGGGTGCCCACTTCCTTACAGCTCTCCTACTGAGCTATGCTGAGTTCCCAGGGCTTCTGACAGCTTAAGCCGGTAGGTCGGTGCCACCACAAGCTGTCCCAATGTTATGCACCCAGAGACATCCTATGTGGCTAATGACAAATGAGCAGCGGGAAGGCACATGACATTTGTCCAACAATCCAGTAACTGTAGCCTCTTGTTCCCCTGAAGCTTAAGATTTCCAAGAACCAGGCAAGCCTCAAGAAACATGTCACCAGTGATCATCACCTTTGGTTTGGATCTTGGGGACTAGAATATCCCCCATTAGTGCAGGAAACTGATAGGGTTTACAAACATTTAAAACTCAGAGAAGTTAAGGCTTGTTCCCCTGGGTTGTGTGGGTGAACACATGAATTGTATAACATGCCTGATACAATGAGATAAAGTCTAAGTTCATTTGTGAGATGGGGTCTCTATTCTACGCCCGGCTCCAACTGTGTAGCTGGAGGATGACTTTGCTTCTGCTTATTCTCCCCTCTACCTCCCAAGTGCTGAGCTTAGAGATGTATAACGGCATATCCAGCTTGTATTTGGTGAGGCCTCCTATGCTAGGCAAGCACTCTATCAACCAGACTACAGACTCAGCCCAAACTTGCTTATTTTTAATGTTCTAGAATCTCTATTTTGGCTTATTCTGGTACCTACTAAAACATGTAGGAGGCCCAATAGAAGACAAGTTATCAAAGCAAAATCCCCAAATCATGAGCTTGCCCCAACTGCAAGCTCTAGCACCCGGCTTTCTGGGGAAGAAGGGACAATACCGACACCCATCCCAGTCACATGTGCACCTGAGACTGAGCAGAAGGACATCTCAGAAGCCGCCATCGCATGGAGTCTGCGAAGTTTGGGGCCCACACCGGGTATAATTACACAGAGGCCATGACATCAGCTACGTGCATCCCGTTTTCAAGTCAGTCCCGGGTCTTCCTCCCTCCTATACTCTCCTGTGTGTCTTGACTCTTGAGATTGCCAGTCCTCTATGCAGGGAGCAGATCAGACTTCCCTGCACCATCTACTACCCTAGTGGTACTCAGGGACTCCCTGACTCTTGTAGAAAGCAGACACTTAATATCACACACACACACACACACACACACACACACACACACACACACACACACCAGCGCTAGACAGTACTGGTCGGGAAGATTATTTTCCCTAAGCCACACCTCCATTTATCAACATTGTCGGAAAGCCAGGCTGCTGGGAAAGCCCGGAATTGTCAGCCTCTCACTCTGTGGCTCCCACCTCTGGCTCCATTAGTGTCTGGAGAATGACTTGACCCCTCCCCTTCTGCATACCACAGCCACATCTGCACAAGGCGCTGCGGGGAAAACTGCATAATTTATGATGTGTTAGGCTGTGCTTAGAGACGGGGGATGCTCAAATCAAGCCCGGTGGAGACATCACCTGGAGAGTCTGTTAACGTGAAATGGAGCCCCTATCTTTGTACAGGATTTCCCGTCCCTAACCGTTGGGTTCTTCCCGTTGTGGACAAGCAGGCCCTTGTCTGTCTTACGGGGCCGGATCTTTTGTTAGTTTATAGAAACCTGGGGAGGGGTGTGCAATGACTGAACCAAAGCCAATGTTATGTCAGGTCAACAGAGAGTCCTTCAAAAGCTTGCAATAAGATATAATTAGCTAAGTGTTAGCCCGTAGGTCCCTGGCTTCCAAAAGCCAGCCCCTTTGTACATGTACATGTATGTTATCTCACTTCTGAATGCATTCTGCCTACACACAGAGCCTCGGAAAGTGGGTACCAGTACCCAGTCTCATCGTCTTCCCATGCTGGACTAGGGGAGACACAGGAAAGTGCTGGTGCAATTTGGATAGTTGCTTACTGTGCTGGTCACTTCTGTCCCTTGTCCCATCCACTGTCCCATCTGGAAGGATCCTCAAGAAGTGGCCCCCGTTGCTGCAGTAGAGAAGTTTGGGTTTCTTGTAGTTTCCTGCAGGCAGATCAAACCTCTCGGTCAGGGCTGTGAAGGTGGTGATTTCTCCTTCAGCCATGGCTCAGCAGCAACCGGTGGCGGAACTCTCAGGACTGAAAGAAATGAAACACACCTGTAGAATGTTCTTTCGGTGAAGGTATGGTGGACATATTCAGGAAGGGAAGGACCACGCAGGGCCACAGACTGCTCAGGTGGTACCCAAGGTGGATGGGCCCGTGAGGAGGCTGGCGGTAGAAGAGGGGTGGTCCCTTGCCTGGGAGACATTTTTTCAGACAATTCTCTCTTCCAAATTGGATACAACTTTGCAACAAGCTGGATCGATCTTTCTTTCTTTCTTTCTTTTTTTTAGAACTTCAAATTTAATCATTTGGCCAATAGGAAAAACATTGTCCTGGTCCCTCCTTCTGATCCACACACATCCTCAAATTAAATACTGTAAGTTGTACTAAAATAACACCTGGGGTCTGGCTGAAACCCACACAAGCAAAGAGGGCGGGGCTGAGGTTCTGCCTTCCACCCTCACACTGTTTTGACTAGGTACTACCAAGCCAGAGGAGGGCAAGGTGCAGAGATGGCCTGGGCAAAAGGGCACCTGTGAGCCAAGGGTACAGCAGAGGTAACAAGGGGTTAATATATGGCGACCTTCTAAATTTGCTGGAGGAAGGGATGAGGGCAGAGAGAGGGGCCTGGGCATTTTTAAAGAGCAAGTACTGCAGCCAGGACACCTTCTGAGACAGCATCTTGAAGGCTGTCTGACCCCTGGTTTCATAGTCTTCCACAAGACTCTCTTATCACACATTTCATCAGGTCTGTCCCTGTACCCAGACCATCTTCATCTTAATTATTTCCTAATATGAGATGCACTTACAACACAGAGCCTATAATAATATTTTATAGACCTCTGACATTATATATATATATGTATATATATATATATATATCCACTCTATGGAAATTCCTACTAGTGTAAAATGTATCAAGCATTGACACTCAGGATTTGAGAATAAAATCAATGAAAGTCTTAATTTTGAGCCATACATTTGCCCAACCGTTTAGAAAAAGAAAGTTCTAATAACTACAAAAACAGTGAAAGTTGTTTGCTTTTGCTTTTTTGAGACAGGGTTTTTTGTGTAGCCTTGACTGTTCTGGAACTAGCTCTGTAGACCAGACTGGCCTTGAACTCATAGAGATCCACCTGCTTCTGCCTCCCAAGTCCTGAGATTAAAGGCATATGATACTACTGCCCAGATTTTAATCATATATGTGTGTGCATGTATGTGTATACATGTATGTATTATAAAATGAAATTGTTTTATAGCAACAATGATCATCATCACCAACAACATATTCTGTGCTGAAAGATAATATTTGTTAACTGATCCTTTAATGTGGATGCTGAAACTCCTATTAAAAATTAAATCAGAGCTTAGAGGCGGTAAATTGTCTGTGCAAGGTCAACAACAAGAAGCTAAGGCTCAGAATGAGTCAGTGAACACAAAGCCCCATTTTGCCCTTAATTACTATGAGAAGGTTACACAAGTTCAATGATATGGAAGTGCTGTGACCAGAAGTGGGGGTTTTACCCATTGTACCAAATTACACCTGCCTTTATAAACTTGTTTTTCAGCCTTCCATCATGGTCAGAATGCTAGTGATCTCCAATAACCTCCCCTGCACCTGTTCCCTGTGGTTACCTCTATAGCAGAATTCCACATAGCTGCTGAGGCCCAAAGAAACTCATGCTGGTAGCACCCTGAACTCCCAAGACTGGCCAGAGCCCCATGTTCCATGCCCTGGTCAGTCCTACATAAGCCCTCGTGGGAATCTGTTCAGTCGTAACCCAAAGCACCAATCTGGGGAACTTGTCTTTGTAACCAACAGGAATTAGGGCTCAAATTGGAAACATCCACCTTTTTTTCTCTATTGGTAGTTAGTATGTCTGGTATGTGCAGTCCCTCAGGTCAGATAGTGACTTCAGTTTCAGCTACTGTTTGGGAGGCCCCTGCAAGGACACCTCTCAAATTTCATATGTGTGTGTGTGTGTGTGTGTGTGTGTATGTGTGTATGCGTGTGTGTTATTACATTCAAAGTCAGACTATCACAAACAGCCCCTCAACACATGGTTCCACATTGTTCTTGCCATATAAGACAGTGAGAGACGGATAATGTTATTTATATTAGCTGCAGAGTGATAATTTACCTTGTATAGCACATTGTGCTTTTCGTCCAAATTCTCAATATTTTCCAAGAATCACCCTTTCACCTCAAGCCTCTGGTCTTTCTGCTAACTTCCATCTCCTCTCTCTTTAGCTGCCCACCCTTGCCCGTTCCTTACTCAACTTCTTTCTGAATCACTTGATTTTTTTTTTCCCTGAGAAGTGCTGGAAATAGAGTTTCCTGCGTTCTAATTTGTTGTTGTTTTTCAAGACAGGCTTTCTGTGTAACCTTGGCTGTCCTGGAACTTACTTTGTAGACCAGGCTGGCCGCAAACTTATAGAGATTCACTTAATTCTGCTTCCTGGGTGCTGGAATTAAAGGCATTCCCTACCACTGCTCAGCTCCGTACCACTGACTGCACCCTGACTCTCTGGATCCCCTCTGATGAAAAGCAATGTAGCTGTTTCAAGTGAGACTAACTTCATGTGTCGCTCCATTAGCTCACAGATTCCCCTTCTTAACAGCGCAACTAAGAGATCGTATATTTTTTCATTTATTTTTATCCCCAGTACTTCCTAAGCTGCACATTTAATTTGCTATGCAGGAAACAATAGCTGCAGTCTAATGGCTACCACTGGAATTGGCAACCTTAGGAGAGCAGAACTTTCTTGTTGTCTCAGGGTCTCCTCCCGCGGTGGTTTCTGATTGCATTTCCCATACTTCCTAAGTTGTGTATTTAATTTGCTATACAGGAAACAATAACCGCACTCTAATGGCTACCGTTAGTATTGCCAGTCTTAGGAGAGCAGAACTTCCTTGTCTCAGGGTCTCCCCCAGTGGCAGTTTTTATGTTTGCATTTCCTCTGATGTGGGCCAGCTGCTTGTCAAGGATGGGCTTCCCTTTTCAGTCCCAGCCAGGTTGTTTGCTAAGTGCTGGGCATGGATTTGGCGCTACCTGCCTGTATTCTCGCCTCCTCCAACTGGGATAAAACTGAATAGATACAGCAGAAAGCTGGATGGGGTTGGAGGTACCAGCACTGGCTAAGGGTGATACCAATGTTCTCATTTACATGTGGGTATAAGCCAGGCAGTCTGGATGTCATCCTCTCAGAACCTTCATCACCAACTCGTGACCTTGGCCAGTCCCAGCAGGCTCTCAGGGGTTCTTCTTTCTGAAGCAGAGTGAGAGCTGAGGTGTGTAAGACCACACCTCTATTCTCTGCCTGCTCATCTCGTGAGTGGGATCGTCGTGGGATGGCTGCACTATTCGGATGCTTCCCTCTACGAAGCCTTCAGTTCACATTTCCTCCTGAATCCCGAAAGCCTCATGTCAACACCTTCAAATCAGCCTGGCATCGCAATGGAGCTGACAGCCATGGCAGCTGGATTTGTGAATCAGCTGAAGCCTGGTGGGAGGGGCACGAAAACCTCTTATTTTTGTTTGTTTGGTTTTCGTTTTTCAAGACAGGGTTTCTCTGTACGTAGCTCTGGCTGTCCTGGAACTTGTTCAAAGACAAGGAACTGGCCTCAGACTCACAGAGATCCGCCTGCCTCTATCTCCTGAGTGTTAGAGTTAAAGGCATGCACTACCACCACCACCAGGAAAATTCCTTATTTTTAATTTTCTTTACTATTTACTTATGATTTGAGAAGTAGACAGTTCAGAATTCTTGGACCAATCCCTAGTTTGCTAAGGGATATGAATAAAGGAAGTATATGGTGTGGCAAAACCTTAAGGCAGCAACCTTAACAAGTGTCCCTGGGGATTTATACGAATTGCTCTCATAAATGAATCAATTAACTAAGTGTAATCAGGCATTAAACATAATGTGGATTTTCTAGCCCTGCTTTTTGTTACCAATTGTCTGTCTTAGTGGCCATCTGGAGAGGGGATTTTCCGTGTGGGAGACAGAGAAGAGCAAGTCCAATGGACTCCCTCTCATCGGTCCGCACCAAGTCAGCTCCTGGATTTAGGATGCTGGTGCAATTTTTGAAAGTCAGATGATTTTCTTGGTTTCTCAGTGGCACAGAAGTGAGAGGAATACTCAGCCTATTGGAACGTCCACGTTAAAAGCTGACGAACTCGCTTAGCTGTGGCCACTGGACCAGACACATGGAACAGTGGGAGACTTATACCCTAGCCTGGGAGCTCAAGTCATTTCCCATGTGGGGAAACAAGCATCTACTGCACAGCCCTGGGCATACCCAGATGGGAACATGGATGTGCCACCCACTCTGGACGTGCTTCCTCTAGTGATCCCTACTCCACCTACCACACAGAATCCTTTGAAGGGTTAAACAAACGCAAAATTCAAAAAGCACAAGGGAAGTATAAAAATATAGCCCAACTTCTTAGAGATAAGAGCACATGATTATATTAGACTAGTTGAAGCCAGGTATGGTGTGGGTCAGCTTAATTTAAGTGAGTTATTTTTATTCTCTTCCCCGTGTGGCATAAGAAGCTCAGCTTCTTTTATTAAATCGCAAAGATGAGAACAGAGTAGTTGAAGGAGGCAAAGATCAAGCTATTGCTGCAGACTCAGGTATGGACAGATGTGTGGACAGGTGTGGAATTGACTCAGGAATCCTGATGCTCCCAGATGTGCGGACAGGTGTGGAAGTGACTCGGGAATCCTAATGTTCCCAGGAGGCGTTGATGTGTGGCTCAGGTGACTGCTGAGGAGAAAGACTCGTGGTTCTGAGAACCAAGGGCAGACAAACATTGGCACCTATAGGTTGGTTTTAATGCCTATTGCTGTTTATGCAACAGAGAACTATTCATGTAGAAAGGCAAACTGCATACAGACATTGAAGATAGTGGGTTTAGACCCAGCATGTGTAAAACAGGGCTTAGCTCCAGTTCTAAACAATGTCCACATCTCTATGAATGAATCCCTTCCTACTACCTCCAGAAATGTTAATTCACTTTAGATTT